GTAAATAACTCAACTGAGTCCTGCCACTAATCATAATCTATGTCCCCTTATTTTAGCTCTGATCAAAGCTTTGGTTATGTGACTCTTTGAATATGATAGATTAGGTTTCATGATAAAGATATTAAATGTCCTCCAGCTGGTTCATAATATTTATTGGAGACAAATCCTTATATTTTCTTAGAGTTAACCTAGGTGTCTTAAGTGTTTAGATGCCAAATGTCCCTCCCTGGCTATGAGGAAACAACAGTAAAAAGAAATAAGAGAGCTGTGCAAAAACATATACTGTATTGCTTTTTTTTTTTTTTTTTTTTTCAAAAAAGCCTTAAAAAAAACTTAGATTTATAATTTCTATTTTATAAATACCAGTGACACGGCTCCTCTAGTTAGTTATTTAGTGTTTTCTTCCTGGCTCATAACAGTTGAGCTCCAACCACTTGAGGGGTAAAAACAAACTAAAAAAGGAAAAACAACGAACCGGATGACTCGGGTCACATTGAAAAGAGCAGTGAGTCACGATTCCTACACCTATTTGCAGCATTCATTAGGCAGCAGGCTGCCGTGCTGGACCTGGACCAGCCTAAACTCTAGAAGAAATCTGGGTCACACATATTACCCCGGTTAAATGAGAACAGGCCATCCAGCTGACATTCAGACAGTGCCGCGAGCCGTTTGGAGCGTTACTGTGAACTGATGCAGAAGAGAAGATTCTAAAGGGACAACTCACTCGAGTAAATCTGGGTTCACAGGACACTTGCAGTCAGCTCACTAAACATTTAGACAAATCTAGGCCACATGTGCTTCGTCAAAACTGCCAAACGAACAGAAGTACTTGAGAGTATGTGCTGCCCAAAAAATAACCAATACCAAAAATAATTTCTAAATCATTTTTTAACTGCCAAGCTAAATATACATCAGTAGTGTTAATCTGGAGATTTAGGCTTTTTATGCAAAAGTAATGTAAAGTTTTAAAAAAAGAATAAATGCAGGATTTAGAGATTTCTATCCTTTATTATTATATTTGCCATTGTTTTAAAAGCAATGCTCCTATTTAACTCCTAAAGGCACCTCTAATTTTTTTATAATACACAAAAATACATAGTATTGGATTCCAATAGAACAAGGTAGAGCAATACTCATGCATTTAAAATAAGATTTATATGATCTATTATTAGTGTTTATCTAAATATAAGGAGTTGGATCTTGGAAGTCCTGTTTCTTTGCTCCTATAATGGCATTAGTGTTACAATAACAGTTCTCTATACTAGGGCTAGAAACAGTTAACAGGATTAAAGATGATTAATCAATTATTAAAAAAAATAATCTACTTATTTAGTAATCAAGTAATCGTTAAATGTAGTATAAAGATTCTAAAACATGACTTTAGCTGACAGATCAACCCACTTAGAGCAATAACTATACCAAAACTGAAAAAATAAAACCTTTGTCTGTTAATATGCTCTATCCAGAACTCTTTAAGTGGAAAAGTTTTAGTTTCACCTGGTTTAAAATATGTAAAAACCTTTGCGTAATATTATTTGTCAAAATAATTGCGTTGGGATCCATTGTCGTTCAAGTAACGTAACTACGCCGCATTGAAGACCCACCACTCCAGCATAGGTTTTACAAACACTAGCTTCCAATATTAGCGTCCTATTTCCCGGTGGCCCTGTGCCGCTAGAGGCTAGATAAAAGCGCTTCCAGCTGAAGGCTATGCCACTTAACAACCAAATCCCTCTAGAGAAGTCTGCGCTTGTAAGGGAGTCAGACTACCCTTTTCCTGCGATTCAGAAGGGGCTGAGCACCGCAATTTTTATTTTCCTGCGATTTAGAAAAAGCTGATCGCAGTGTTTTTACTCTTCCTGCGATTCAAACCTAGTGAACGCAGTGTAAGAAGAGCTAATCCCTATATGCTAACTGCTGAACAACGGGGGCCCCGATTGCTGTTCGCCAAAGGAGCCGTTAGAAGCCGCCGCACTGTGACCGCCTGAGACAGAGGGACGGAGCAGCGCCGAAGAAGTGCTGCTAGAAGCTGCTGCTCCGAGCTAACCATCGTAGCTAAAACGGGAGATGCCCCATGCTACAGTAAGTTTAAAATTAACCCCCTTGCAAATCGCCTCTTATCGTTGCATCGGATTGATCCAAATCTCTTTGAGCTGCTCTTGGATGGACGGACTGGACCAAAGACGGGTCTGTAGAAAACTGGACCGAGCCGAAGGCCTTCCCTCCACCGAACCAAATACAGTAACCTCCTCATTCCCACTCCTTTCCATCTGATGCTTAATAAATGCTCTGTTTGGGTGAATTATAGGTAGAATAGATAGCCCTGTTTGTGTTTTATTTGAAATAAGTTTTCTGATACAACTGCTGATGGTTTTTAAAGGTTTAACTGAATGCTAATGCCCACTACAGACAGAACGAGTCACGTGTTGCTAAAGCTAACTACTACATCGTGAGCTAAACCTCCCTTTGTTTCAGTTGGACCCGACCAGAACCCCTGGGGCCAGCTAAGCTGACTGGTCTTTCAGCTTCATCCTAGTTTAATGCATTCCTGAGTTTATTAATTTTTCACCATAAACTGAATGAAACTTCACTGTTCTGACTGTGGTTAACATCTGTGTGACAGGGTTTATTTACATTTATCTGCTGCTATTACAAAGGACACTTTCAAATGCATTAACCCTCAAATTTCAAACATCACTCAGACTTTGAATGGACTCTTAAATCCGTCTTCCCTTTTTATTTCTTCAATTTTGCTTATTTTCAGTAGTGTTTAGTGTTTGCTAAGTTATTAGATATAATACTGTGTGGTTGTCGCTAATAAAGGTACTATTGTATTTTAACCCGTGGTCTTTTGTGTTTGTTTTACACAGTGAAGGATTTATCACTCAGGCTGAATTCACTTTTCTTTCAGTAGCATCCAAATAAACAGAGATACATTTAGTTGGTTGGAGATTAATAACGTTGCTAAATTAGCCTAAATTACTAAATTGGTGAAAGACAACTGGATTTTTAACAGGCGGATTCAGGAATCTAACCTTTTAGGAAAGGGGCTAAAAGCCTGGGCAGTAAGCAAATTTCAGTTTTAATCATTTAACTGATGATACATAACTAGCTTTACCCTTTATTTTAATGATCTATTATTTAACTTAACTTCTTGTTGTAGTTATTTAATATACTCAAAAACGTCTGGTAAGCTTGCACAACAATTTATTACTATTAAAATCCAAATTATCGTTAGCTGCAGCCCTAATATAAACTCTCATATGGTTTGTTATAACTCATCATGCTTAGTTTAAAAGAGTTCTTCTCACTACCAGTCCGTAAGCTAATGTAACTCTTACAGGCTCAGAGAGAGCGTAACAATCTTGAATTATGTTTCATTAGTGGAGGAGGTCTTTTCCTGGCTGAAGCCTTGCGTTTGAGTTAAGCATATATTATGCTCATTATAAAGAATCTTTACTATGCACTTAACATGATTAGATATCTATAATTAGATATAGGAGACATCTTTACAAACTGCTTCATTAGATGAAGGGATAATCTTTCAACTAATGAGAAACAAATCTAACTCCAACTAGCAGCTGAAAGCTGGGGAGGGCATATATAAAAAAAAAGAACAGGGGGTTGACACAAAATGCATTGATCTACTTTTAATTAAGACTAAATTAGCACGAGGCGTATTGTAATCAGCTGCAAGTCTGAATGTGTTATAACTGTCTGGCTTCTGGGTTAATTGGGGTAAAATGAACTAATATTCAAACTGTTCTTGTATAAATCAAATCCCTGCCTTTTCTCTGTTTAAAGATATTATGGAGGGATGACCTGATCCGATATTGATCAATTATCAGTCCAATATCAGCAAAAACAAAAATATTGGAGAATATCAACCAGCATCTAAAATATCCATTACTATCATGCTGTTAGAAAAAACTGTGCTTCTATTAAAGTTTATGAAACTCATTGGTTAATAATAAATGGTTCAATTGTTCTCATACCTAAAGCTGTTGACTGTTCTTCTCTGTTTGATCAAACATTCTCTAGCATTCCAAACTAAAACATAAATAATAAAAGGATGTGTATCAACATCCCTAAACTAGTTGCTAGTACATGTGATAACTAGTGTGTCATTAGTCACATATTTCACAGACAGCAAAAGTTGAATTAATCAGTAATCAGTAATGAGTTAATCAGCCTGTTTATTCACGTTTGAACTGTGAAGCCGCTTTAATTAAGACTTAAACTCCTAGTTCTGAGTGGCCCTCATAGTCCTTACAATTTGCTATAAAATGAGTAAAAACCTTTTGCTTAGGATAAAATAATAAAGTTCAGGTCTTAATCCGTTTAAGTTTTTGTGGATTTTTGAATGACAAAAAATCAAATGTAGTCGACAGTCCCTACAATTCATGGGAATTTTAAACAAGCCTTTAAATTGTCAAAAAAGAAGAAAAATGTCACTAAGACGGTGAAGCAGAGTGTAACGTGGTCATACATTTGTTACGCTTGGCTGTAATTTATTTATGATTTATTGTTAAGCGTTAGCTTAACAATAAATCATAAATGGACCAGGGTTTTAATGACTTGTTGCAGTGTTACTTTATCATGTCAACTAGCATTAGCGATGGCTCATGACATCCAGGGATGATTAGAGAGAAGTAGATTTTTTTACTGCTTGCATTCAGGATGGGCAGCAGTTAAAGCTGACTGGCCATGTGATGTAAGTATTTACTATGTCAACTTGTTCGACCAACGTGTTTCCATCTCCTCTATAGGCCATTTATTTGTTTCTTCAAAACAATGAAATATCAACTCTATTTTTTTTCTCAAAATTAAGTTTGTTTATTTGAATTTAGTTGTTTCCATCAAGTTTTGCTAATGAAATACTTTCAAATATGCATATAGAAAACTCAAATTTCCTCCTTCCCTGTGCTAAAAGAAGATGTTAGATATGAAAGCCTCTTTTTTTCAAGCAGGTAATATAATCTAAGCGATGGAGTACTCACGGCTGAGAATGGGCCGTCTCATAACGTTCAAACGGATGACTGAGGTCGTGTTTGTTGTTCATGTAACACTGGGTGCACAGGTCGTAGTCGAAGCACACTTTGCACTTCCATCGCATTCCCATGATTCCATGCTTCTTGCAGCTATCGCAGATGATATTGGAATGACGGACCCCTGCAAACAGAACAAGTAGACTGACATTTGTCTTTCCTTTTCTTTAAAAAAAATTAAAATTAAGCTTCATTTTTCTAAATTTTATGCGGTATAAAATAAAATGTCCCAAAAAAAAAAAAGGTAAAATCATTAACATTCAATTTGTTAATTATAACAATAAACAATGCCAGAGGTAATGAAGAACAAAAAAGGTTCAAAAAGCTCGATAAAATACTCCCAGTGGCATGACCTCTTTTTTGTATTTCAATTAACTAAATGAGCTTCTGAGGCAGAAAGATGCTTTAAATGGAGCAAAATGCTAATGACTTGCTTTAGTGAGAGCGTATGTTGATGTGGGTGTGTGTGTACCTGTCTAGCCCTTAGAGAGAGGACCATTTTTCCAATTTCACCATCAAATTGAGGACCAATTGTTGCAAGGTTAGGACATTTTGCAGGTCCTCAGAAGCTATTTTGCTAATGGTTAGGTTTAAGGCTAAGGTGTTAATATGCATGGGTAATGGTTAGGTTTAAGTTAGTTTTAGGGTTAGGGCATAGAAAGGGTAGCCTGACGTAGTCCTACTCAATTCTAGTCAGAATATGAGTCTGATACTGCTCCATAGAGCTTGGATTATGGGGCGTGTTT